TGGGATTATATTGCAACAATTCAAATAAATCATGCTTACCTAGAGTGAAGATATTAGACTTGGCATTAGTATACAGGGTGTCCGGAAATTATGCGTCAAGACTTCAGGAGGTGATTCCTCACAACAGTTAGGGTCACAAAGTCCTATAACAATTTTTCTAAAACTCAATATTAACGGAGATACAGGGTGTCAAAAAAAAATTTTTTTTTTAGTTTTTCTTAGATAATTTTTTTATTTGTGATTTGATTTTTTCCAAGTCTTTCCTATGTATTACTAGTGCCCTTGTAGATTTATGTTTCAAATATGATGCAAATATTCCAGTGCAAAGGGACCTGACCTTAATCTTCTATCCATGGCCCACAACTTTTTTGTTTTCACGGCTTTATAAATTTGAACAGCACCATGTTTAAAGAGTATCAAAAATTATTTAAAAAAGTATCTCTTGTTGCGATACAATAAAATGAACAGTTTCTGAGAAAAACGACTTTCAAATACCTTTGCAATTTCTTTTTCTCTTGTGTTTTTTTCAGTTTCTTATTGGACTTTTTTGTACCTATGATACACCATTGCAAAGCCTAAATAAAGTTTCTTTATTTCAGCTTACGGGTAATACGATGTCCATAAAAAACAAAAAGTTGCAAAGGAAAGGACGACGACCGCAATGGTGGAACAAAAAACCCATAGTGCAAAGAGCTGCTATAAAGATTTTACAGATTTCAAAAGGAAAACAGTTAGAATAAGTCTGCCAGAACCATTAAGTTAGTAACAGAATGGTCTAGAACAGGGGTCGGCAAACCGCGGCTCGCGAGCCGCATGCGGCTCTTCAAGTTCCTCTAAAAATTAAAAGTTAAAGCGGACAGACAAACAGTACACGAGTACACATAAAGACGCGTATAAACTTCCGTATCCGATTTAAATTTGAAATAAATTGTAAAAGCAGAAATAGAAATTCGTGGCTCATGAAATTGATATTTCTATTGCAGATGGCTCTTCGGGCTTGAAAGTTTGCCGACCCCTGGTCTAGAACTTTCTAGATTAAATCGTTTTATGGCTTTCCAGGTACCAATACATGCATTATCAAAATATCAACCCTGTATATCACCGTCAGCATTTCTCATCTATAATGGCAGTACCTACGAGAAGAATGTTCAGTTAGTAGTTTATATGCGATTTTCATGTATTTCATTTATCTGATTTACTACAAAATTCTAATCGCACTAAATCTAGCGTCAGTTACGTAGGACCTTCATTTGTCGGCTTATAGTATTATTTTTCAAAAAAAAATACAAACAACTGCAGTTTGGCAAATCGCTAGGATCAAAATGTAAATATTATACCAGTATTTCACAACATGGTAATCCATAATACAACGTACGTTATGAATGATTAGATTCTCGATTATTATAATTAAAAAAAATGTCAGGATCTGAAGGTTTGGAAAAATTTATTATCGAAAGTAATCACCAAAAGTTATTAAAGGGATTTTCTGGAGTATAAATCAATTAATGCGCATTGTTTCAATAATGTCTACAGACTTGCCTGTTATTTTGTTATTAATATAGGGTGTGCAAATTTACCTTCAACTGGAATAAAGAAAATGAGAAAATCTTATAAACAAAAACACGAATTAATCAAGGATATATTCCAATTACCTGGCAGTTTTTTTAATTCATACCTGAAGAAATCCGACGGTTGGGAAATGGAGATTTCACCAAGACAATTTTAAGAGACGTTTCATTAAAGGAGATTCGTCGAAGGTTGTTTGATAGAAATAGAGGAAACGATGGCAGTGCGATAGAGCAAGATCAGAAGAATAGAGCAGACGTGGAATAACTTCCGAACCAACATCCCCCAAAGCCGCTTTCTGCCAGCAGCTTGCGAACAGGCATTACCATACTGCAAAATCATCAAGTATTTTTTAGAATTGAGGCCACAAGACAACAGAATTGCTAGCAATAAATCTCAGCAGTGACGATTACGTCTTATTTATCTCACCAGCTTATACAAATGTGCACCAGTTCTTGCGCGACGGGTTGCCTTTCTGTTAGGACCAAGACGTTCTATTCTTGATGTTGACACAAAGGCGCCATTTTTTGTCACGAATAACATTCTGGAACAAGAATGGTCGATGTTTTTAACGAACTTAATGATAACGAGCCAGCAAAGAGACACAAATGCTAACACGTTGATTTTTACTGTTTTCGTTCACAGAGTTTAAAAAACAAGGGCATATCGTGATGTTATTCCATCCTGTATATGCAATATTAAAATATTAGGTCGGCAAAAGACAGGAGATACTTATTATTATCGTGATAATAGTACCAGCTATAAAACTCTATTAGAATTACTTTAATCTAGTTCATTTACTAAACAGATAACTGGAGAAATGTGACAAAGTAAGCAATTTTCGCCGACATATGACGACTGCTGATAATTAGCAACAAACCGATCGAATTTAAATCCCAAAATGTACGGCTTAAAAGAACTTAATCTTAATTCAATCCTCAGAAAGTCATTTTCATTCAAATTTTATACAAGAAATCCTCAAATTAACGTGTGATATTTACCACAGCGGTCTACAATTAAAAATAAGAGAAAATTCCTCTTCAGGTAGCTGTAGTCTTAAAGGTGAGTCCATATTTTTTTCTCTCCATAAATGTAAGAAAATTTCACTCAAATTTCACTCAATTTTACTCAATAATATATCAATTTCTGTCCACATCCCATTAAACGAAATTATCACTCGTTTAATATGAGTACCACTTAGTGAAACTATTGCACCAGAAATGAGTGAGTTTTACTCAAATCCGATTACTGCTAACTATCAATTGAGTGACTTGACTCTATTCTGGGTATATAAAACCAATTTAGAGCTGACTTTTTCTCTAATATGATTTAAATTTAACTATTATTGAGTCATTTTGCTCAGACTTGGTTTATATTCTCTTTAAACTTTAATTTAAATATCATTGTATTAAAGTGATAAACCACTAAGCTGCCACAGTAGCTTCTGTACTACAGATCTGTTATAGAGACAATATTTTAGATCTCTATTAAAGGAATTGGTGAACTGATCGGAAGAATAGATTGCCATATCCTACATTGTACGTTACAAATATGTAATTATAGATTTAACTATCCGTTTATTTAACCAAATATTAATCGAGACTTAATATATTGTCTTTAATTAATTATTGTAATTAAATCAATTTTCACTAGAATGACCAGATAAACCTATAATTGTCGAACTCCAAAGCACACCATATGTCATACTGCTATCCACCACGCCACGATCACGAGATATTCTAATGGGACGATGGGAACAGACAAATACAATGCATCTGAAAAACATGTAATGTACCTAACATATTGCTAATAATAACAATGAATAATGTTCTATTGGTAAAAGTAATGCAATTTTTTTTGGTGAGTTGGTATTAATTATCTTCTTCTTCAGATCAAACTCTTAATATAGTTTCAGTTGTTCACCCATTGATAACTACCACAGAAGCCTGCAAATAAGGTTAAGGAATGGTGTTAGTGTAGGTTTGTTGGAGAGTTATTGTTAGAGTTTTAACAAACTTTTCGATGCTTTTAACTAGTGACAAACTAGCACACAGTACAATAATAACAAACTTGTCGGCACGATTTTAATTTTGGGGGAATGTCGTCAAAATGCAGTACAAGCATCTCAGCGAAGTTCTAGTAGGTTAATCGGTAGCCACTACGCAAAATGCAAAATCTGCAAAATTTATTATTTTGATGAATGTACCATACTTAAAACAAGATTTCTCTCAATTAAATTGACTTTTTTTCAGAAGATTACTCAGATCGGTATGTGAATTAGTTTCATTATTTGAGTATTTCCAATATTTTTTGGTTAAAAAAACACTTGGGGCGAGATAAAGAATACGTTTGATTGTAAAATTTTTAAATAAGAATTTGCTTCGAATTCTATTATACAGGGTGTCCGGAAAGGTAATGTCAAAATGAACGGCTAACAGGAGAGCTCAAAATAGTTGTAGTACTTCATAAAAAATTTTTCCTATCGAGCTTCGTTGTGGAGTTATTCGCCTTCAAAGAAAGAAGTTTATAAAACAAATTCCAACTATAACTTCTAAGTCGTTGCCATGACAACAATGAAATTTGGGCAATTAAAGTAACTTATGATAATGTTCATTTCCAATTTAAACTGATATTCAATATGCCTGGATTATATAGGAGCAGACGAAATTATCCATATAAATTTATACATCTTTGACAGTGTTGCCAAATTTGACATTTTTCTTTCATGGTTCTAGTCCTTTCTCATTTTGCTAAAAAAAAGGTAATGTAATGCTTCTGAAGCTGTTCGGATTTACGCCAACCGCTTTCCAAATAGAATTTGCATATTTGAAGTGACGAAAACCCCCAGGTAAAACACTAACAAAAATTTATCATTAATGTATCGATGGGAATAATTGGAAACTACTTAGTGGGACCACATATCATTGATGACGCTTTAAATGGGGATAAATACCTACACTTACTACAAGAACACCTTAACCCGTTATTGGAAGATGTCCCTTTAAATATTTGAAATAACATATGGCTGACGCCCGATGGTGCACCACCTCATTTTAGCAGGGCGATAAGGGCTTATTTAAATACCACATTTCCCGATCGATGGATCGGTCGAGGTAGTATTTTCCGTGGCTGCCTCGGTCTCCCGATCTTAATCCCCTCGATTTTTTCTTTGGGGCCATCTTATAAGTCTTGTTTATCAAACTCCTATAAATAGTAAGGAAGAATTATTAAATCGCAGAATTACATATGCCGACATCATTAGAAATGATCACCACATGTTATTTTGAGTTCCCCTGCGCACCCCTTCATTTTTGACATGACCTTTCCGGACACCCTGTATATGTAAATACTGGCGATTCATATCAATCTTATAATTATCACCCATTTGTTAAATTCAAAACATTATTAGAAACATTGCAATAACAATCCATATATTATGAAAACCTACAAAATAACGCAAAACAAAGTTAAAAGAATACAGTAAAGAAGAAAATAATGCAAATGTGCTGCAGTGCTTGTTGGTATTGGTATGTTAAAGTACTGCATCAACTCCAACTCATACTTTTTGAACCACTCCACGTTAACTTTAGCCATTTGCAAGGCCGCCAATGCTGAGTCCATATACTCTTCAGAGAGACCGCCAGTTTGTAGGAACTTTTTCATCTGAAAAACAGAATAACTAATAGAACCCATGACTGGTAGGTATAGTTTTCTAGACATCAATAGTGAATAAAAAAAGTTTTTAAATAATCACTTCGCAACACCAGACAACAAGATTACAATTTCTTAATTCTGATTACTCCAGTAAGAGCGTCATCATTCATTGCTGAGCTCATTAGCTCTTGAAATTGGAATAAAAAAATAGCAGCCAAGCAGATAACTAAACGTTTAGGATTTATTATTTTTCATTCTCACCTTTTCAAGTTGCCGTTTAGTTGTAAACGATTTGGCAAGGTTCTCTATCATTTTTGAAAATGGTAGGGGATTGGCATACCTTCAAAATAAGGAAAGAGATGTATCAATTTGATGCAGAAATTGATCCACGTCAGTGAAAGAAATCTATTTCGAGTTTGTCATTGTAGTCCAGCCACTGAAGGCGAAAATAAGGTAAAAGCTTCCAAAATTTTTGGATAGCATGGATTTTCCTGAAAATTTGCATACAAGCTCATCTGGCCCCCCACTTCAAAAGTTATATTATCTAGATGTGTGCCTTTTTCTATTTGGGGGTGAAAACTACCCTTGTACGAAAAAGTGCGAAAATCGCAGATTTACGTATTTTAAAGATTCAATTCATGTTAAAATATGTTGGATAAAGTTCCTTTCATGTTTTTTAATATAATTTATGAAATTTAATTACTTTTCAACCCTTCAAAATCCTTAAAAACTACCCTTCCAAGGCCAAAAAAATAGAGAAAAAAGTTTTTAACAGTTTAAAATATTCTTTTGGTGCATTCACAATGTATTGCATTTCTTTTGTTATTCATTATAAAGCTTAAGGCTCATTACAACCCTTAAAAACCATCCCTTATAATAAAACAAACAAAAAAATATTATTGACAGCTTGAGATGTTTTAATGGTACGCAAAATGTTCAATTATAAACTTTTTATAGGCTTTCAAATGATCTGTGATATATTACAACTTTTCAGCCACCCAAAAAACCCTTATGGAAGACCTACCCCTCATAAAAAACCCTACCCCTTATAGAAAAATTTTCCGACTGATTTGAATTTATGAAAGCACTGCATTGCATGTAGCGCATGTACTTTATCTAAGTAATGCTGCCAATCTGTGCGTATTCAGAATTTACCGAAAAAATGCGATTAATTTTTTTACCATAACTTTTGTAATTTTAATGTTATAAATTTACTGAAAAAAACATTTTGTATGGAATTTAAAGCACTTTAAGTTCTGTGGTTTGCAGTTTTTTGAGCCATTCGTTTTTTAGATTTGTAAGCTGAAAGGGCTCGGGAATGGCAGTCTTGGAGTTTTAGTTTTGAGCTGTAACAGTCATAACTCAGTCAAATTTTGTCCTACAAAAATTTAAAAAAAGGGAATTTTTTCGTTAGGGAAACCTTCCATTTTTTTTTTTTTTCCTTTTTTTTTGGCTTTTTTGTTTTTTGAATTATTTTGAAAAGGGCGATTTTTTAAAAAGTTTACAAATTTTATTCAAAAGCAAAAGAAATATTTTTTTAAATTTAGGCTTCTAAAATCGTTAAAATTCCCAGAATCGACTGTTAATACATAAATAAAATAAAGTAAATTGCAGAAGGAATTGTTATACGTCTGGGAATCATAACGGGTTCTATACCACCTACAAAAACAAAAAAGTAATCTCTTTGCTATTTAATTACCTTCATTTTTGCTTATGATCATTTTTTGATAAAACTTGTAGTTTTTAAGATATTCGCGAAAAATGACTCAAAAACATGCATTTATTAGGCTAAAAGCGAACATGTTTAGGCGCAAATAACTCAAAAAGTGTTGAGTGTACAGGGTGGGCAAATAAGCGAGGTAAGCGGCTGTATTTCAGAAACTAGTGATCGTAGAGAGCTACGGTAAAAAATTTTATAGGTAAAGTGGGCAAGGGAAAATGCTGGAAATTATTTTCAAGTTTCCAAGATGGCCGCCAGTGGGCGTTTCCACCATATTGAATTACATAAAGTTACGTTTCTCACGATTTTCCCCAATGAATGTAACAAAAAAGTATTTGCGTTTTAATGTTAACTTAAAGTCGAATATTTTTTGTAAAAACAATTTTTCTCTATCTTTCGAAATAAAGTGGTGGGGGGTATTTGAATGTTGTTTTAAATAAATGCCTGTAACTTCGAAACGGCTTAATGGATTTGGATAAATTTGGTATCATTGAAAAGAGCATTTCTTGGGCTTTTAGGTTTCTCGTAATCATGACAGTTGCGACCTACACGGCCGCCGATAGAGGGCGTTATTCGATATTATAACCAAAATATTGGATTTTCTCAAAAAATTTAAATGCGATGATATGACTTTTTTTAGACTAGAAAATAGACAAATGACCAACCAATAAGCCTGCGCAAACCGCATCTTAATATCTTTTTCCTAACTCAAATTATTAAAAAAAAAAACTAAACCAGGAAAATTCATATATCCCCATTTAAAAATGCATCGGTTGCTTTCGATAAGAAGGCAAGTAGTAGGCCATGGACATAAAAGACAAACTCCTCTCTAAAATATTCACAAGAAATGTCAGTTTATTTAGTGCTGTGATTTTAAGTCGCACGTTTTCGTATTTATAAGCGATTTTCCTTTTAAATAAAGTTGTGGTCCTGAAAAGGACCGATTTTGAAAAAAGATTAATGCCTTACGCGCTTACCTCGCTTATTTGCCCACCCTGTACAAAAAATTTTTATAGAACATTTTTTGTTTAGAATTCGTCCCTCTATCGAATCGTAAGGTTATTTTTAATAAAAAAAATCCCACCCTCCAGAAGGGGTGGCATCCACCCCTAGGGTAAAAACACACATCGGCACTATATAACTTTTGTTTCTTGGGCTATTCCCTAGCTACAGTTCAAATTTCACGTCATTCCATTCCATCCGAAAAAATTGGTAGCCAAAATGTTTCAGTGACTGGACTATTGGCCACTTACATCTTCTGGATGCGTTCATAGTTTTTATGCAAGAAATCAAGGGCAAGTTCAACTCCAATTAGGCCGCCTTGACTCACAGCTTCGAATATAAGCATCCTCTCCTGGGCTTTGATACCAGAATCCTCCACAAGAGTCATATCGAGGTACCTGTCAAAGTTCAAGATCAACTCGGTAATAAATCGAATAGAGATTTGTGCTACAATATTGCAGTCCAAAAATTGTAGTGCAAATGTCGGACATTGTTGGTTTGGATGTTGGCTTTCGTTATGCTCATTCTATAAAAAATTTACGATAAGTTTTAAAAAGTACCGAGCGGAAGGCTCCAGACAAGCCAAAATCCAAAATATCTTGTGCAAATCGCTGCATTGAGTCGGAATAAAATTGAATAAAATAAATCGGTTTTCCAAAAAAACTTTCGGTGTTCTTATTTTCAAGGTTTCAATTTTTGATAAAGTATAGACGACATACTAAAAATAGATTTTACCTTTTAAGTAACACTCTATCCTGAGAACATCCCAAAGCTTTAATAAACATCGGGTTCTCTGGGACAATTGTGCTATTCATATACAAATTCCAAACGAATTCCCAATCACTTTGATCTTCACTATACTTTAAAGCATAACAGTACATCAGTTTCCGTAAATTTTTGTTGGGTCTGAAACATAACAGAATTTCATTAATAAAAAAAGGTGCCAAGGGTAAGATTTTTAACTCATCGATGGAAAATTGGCATTTAACTGAATTAGAATAAAATTCTTTAACATTGGAATTGTTTAAAGAATCGGAAGGAAGTGCAAACTTTCAAACTACAACAAATGTTTCGGTTGCGGACGTTGGGCGCAGGTTTGGTACGATCGGATTGAATTACAAAATTAATATTATTTTGAGTCGCAGATCATAACAACTATTTTCACAAAAAGTAATATGTAGTAATAATAAGTAATAGTAATATAAGGTGATGGTTATATTGGATACGAATTCTTACAAAAATCTGTTCATATGAAACAAATACGTGTTTTTAAATACAAACGATTACACGGCAGTATTAGACGCCTTGAATCCTTCCTTAAACCTTAACGGTGAATCCGTGGAATCGCTCCATTTGTACAAATAATTGTTAAGAATGTTCTGATTTACTTTTCTCTTTAATCCATTTTTTACCAATACAAAAAAACGGTAACAGGCTCTATTAAACAGAAGAGTCTTAGGTAATGCCATAAATAAATAACAATATACCGAGTGACCCAGAATGATTGAAGCTGACATCACACGTAAATGTTACCAATGGTATTAAAAATTACTGTTTACCATTTGATCAAAATTACTTTCCATTTTCTTAGATTTCCGACCGACACGATCTGTCAATTCAGAGTTGTCTATTGTATTTATTTGTGTTCGTCGATTGTGGGTAGCCATATCTCTGCGAAGAATAATTGGACTTATTTTCTTTCAAGATAATGTTAAAACTGAGTGATATAGATGAAACATTTTGCAACCATTTGTAAATCAGTTACATGATGACGTATTGCACAATGGTTACTTTTAACAAAATGGGGCAACAGCACATACAGCTAACGCAACATAGCGTTTCTAAGAGAATTTTATGGCGATCGCATTAATTGAGGGTTATGGCCTCCTAGATATTCAGAGTTAACTCCATTAGATTATTATCTCTTTGGATCATTAAAAAATTCCATATAATATGTAAACATACACAGTGGATGAACTAGAGGACGCCATAACAAATAAAATAGATAATATTACAGAAAATGAATTACATGAATGTATTTAACAGTTTAAGAAGACGAATGTACAGAACGAAGACAGACATTTTGAACATTCATTATAAATAAATTGTGATATATTAAATATTTTTATTCTTCATTTCAATGTTTAAATATTTGTTAGAAATTATAACAAATTAATTACAAAAATTATTATTTTGGTCAAAATTAAACGTACACATTCACTTTTTTTTAACTTCAAACCAATAAAGCAATTATTGTTTTAAATTTTCTTATAGGTAACAGCATGTTCTTTTTATGTTAGAATTTAAGGAATTTTAAATCGATTTTTTATTCGCAATTCTAAATGATGAAAGTAAATGTAAATTCATTTAAAAATTGTTGCTTTTACTTTGAAATTCGCATAAGAAAAACAAGATAGATAAACAGTTGTTAAAAATCAATACTTTTGTTAGTTTTGGGGTAATAAGATCTAAATCATTACTTTAACAAATTAATAAACCCCTCAAATTAATTAATGCTGCCTTTGTGTTGTACTTTTGTGATTAAAATGAATATGTGACCCTATTGTCATTGCACTTAACCCGCCACTGAACGAAGTAAATCGCTGTCAGTGTTGCCAGCTACGAAGAGTTCATCCCAACAAAAGTTCGGCTATCCTTTTTACTAAACGAAAAATCCCACAAAACCTCGACAGACTGACACTATCCCAGGAACCCATCTCCTGGAATCGACAAACACGATACCTGGGCGTGACGATGGACCAGCGTCTCACGTGGAAACCGCACATCGTGGAGACGGTGGCGCGAGCGAAGACCACCAGGGCTAGGCTCTATCCCTTACTCAAAGGTGGAAACACCCTCAGTTTAAGGAATAAGCGAACGCTTATCAAGGTGGTACTTCAACCGCAGCTAACCTACGCCTCCACGGCGTGGGGTCACGCGGCAAAAAGCCACTTAAAGTCATTACAGGCTGTGGAAAACATAGCCCTCCGCACGGCCACCGACGCGCCCTGGTACGTAAGAAACACTGACATATTACGAGACTTACAATACACAAACGCTACACAGACAATAAGACAAAACGCGGAGAAACGATTTGACGTAGCCGCTAGACATGACAATCCCCTCCTCAGGCAAGCCGTTGACTACGTACCCGACGTGACCGACAAACACAAAAGACCTAGACACCAACTTTTTGACCCTGGGTGACCACCCCAATGACCCCCCCCCTGCCCGCTAACCTTTTCTGTTTCAGAGACAGCCAGGATCAAGAAACGAAGACAACGACACACACACACACACACACATACACACCCCCCATACCCTCCTTACCCCTCCCCTCCCGCGCTAGCCTAAGGGCCACCTTAGCAAAGCGCATCCCAGGCTGCATAGCCGCACTACCCTACCCAACCATACCACACATAAACATGACACTACCCCCGGGGTTTACACAGACGAGCCGGCGAAGCAAGAAGAGCGCCAGAAGAAAGGGCCCTAGCCGGCGGGGCCCAGCCAGGACAAAAGGAGGTCCCACAAAGCGCCTACACCGGTCGCATTTGCGGTCGGGGTAGACGACGGATGGGGCCCACCTACGAAGGCTGTCCAGGCCTACACGAGATGAGGCAGGATAAAGAGGGATAATCCTCCTCGATCCCAAATCATTGAGGTCAATTTCTAGCCATGGAGTGGTGGCGGCGAGCTACGGAGAGTGAAATAATAGAAGAGCGGCACACAAAATATTTGTAAGTAGCGGCACATCAGTCATTCTGGATCTCTCTGTATAATATGCAAAATTACTTACAAACGTCCGACCATTTTATTAATAGAAAAAAATTCAGCGGATATGAGAATACATAATGGTCTCTCAAATTCACAGGCTGCATCAAAAACCAGCACCTGTCTTAGAGTATAAATGTGTTCATCCTCTTTGAAAGGCACGAAACTGGTGTCTTTGTATAACTTTTCCATTAAATCCAAAATATGTCTCTGAAAAATAAACAGAGCAAACGAAAATATTCACTTTCAGGTTTCATAAAAAAAATTACTGAGCCTCTTTATACGATATTTTGATGAGTATTACCGACAAGGCTTGGCCAAGTTCCGTTTTGATGTCAACTCGTTTCATAAGAAATTTGAAACCCCTGATTGCTGGAACCCAGGGAAAGTATGACGTGTCATTTTCAAGGAACCGAACAGTGTCGAATACTATTCTATACCGGACCTTGCCGGAGGAAGCTAGATTAAAAAGATCGTTGACTATTTGCGCTCTGTTCAGTTCTGGGATGCCATCGAAGTTTGGTTTCTCGAGGGCTTTTCTGATGTTGTCCCAGCCAAACGCGTTATAGTTCACTCTGAAGTATCCTGAAAATTAATTTAAAAATATAGTGTAAGGGAGAGGAGGTGCAAAGACAGGACGAAATAATTTTTTGTAGCATACACATTGCTTTCAACTAACAACTTCATATTTGCATCATCGAAGGATGTTGCATGTTGTGTTTTTAATCGTTCATTCACGGTTTTCGTTTTATTTTTGTAATTCAAGTAATCAAAAACCGCAATCGACTAATAACACAGCCCCACATATAAAACAAAGAGTATCGGATCTGGTATTCAGAATGTATTTCCATGTATTTTTTCCGCTGAATCCGAATCTGCCTTCAGATTTGGCCCAACGGGTCTGAGTTTTCGGGAAAATTCAAAAAACAAGTCAAAATTCACAAAAAACGTCATTTACGATCAAAGCAAATTATTTTACCAGCTCACTAGACGTATGATTTTTCACTCATTTAATTCCAATTTATCATCACAGAGTCCAATTTCGTTGAAAAACAAATCAAATAGATCAAAAACGCCATTTTCATTGCATAATTCATGTTGCAAAGTTCTGGATGCATCTTTTTATCCACCCACCCATTTATGAATTCATACATCTTTCTATCCACGATATCTACAAATCATTGTAATTTTTTTGCAATAACGTGTTCTCTTTTCGTCAAAGGATCTATGTAAAGGGTTACGTTTTCGTTTAGTCCCTCTATTTTTCGTTTCTCTTTTTAACAACCAACAAGTTTTTGTCCTATATATATAAAGGACGAAAATTTCTGAATATTTCTGAGGCGAAATTGAAAGAAGGTATATTCGATGGACCTTAGATTCGGACATTGTTCAAGGTTGCAACATTCATCACTATAATGAGTAGCGTCGAGAAGAGTGCTTGGTCTGGATTCAAAGTTGTAGTGACAAATTTTTTAGGAAACAGCAAGAGTCCTAATTACGAAGAAATTGTATTAAAATTGATAAAAGACTTCCAAGACCTGGGATGTTTGATGGACTACAAGTTGCACTTATTCATTCAAATCTGGATTGGTTTCCTGAAAATCTTAGAGATTATAGCTAAGAACAAGGCGAACGATCTCATCAGGATATGAAAGTTATAGAATAGCGAAATCAAGGAAGGTGGAATCACAACATCACAACACGACGGAATAAAAAGATGTATGAATTCATAAATGGGTGGGTGGATAAAAAGATGGATCCAGAACTCTGCAATACGAATTATGCCATGAAAATGGAATTTTTGATGTATTTTCTGTTTTTGAATGAAATTGGACCAGCTTGTCTGACTCTATGATAATAAATTGGAAGCAAACGAGTGAAAAATCATACGTCTAGTGAGCTGGTAGAATATTTTAACTTTTTATAACTTTCGTCGATCGTAAATTACGTTTTTTGTGAATTTTGACCTGTTTTTTAATTTCCCCGAAAACTCAGACCCGTTGAGCCAAATCTGAAGGTAGATTCGGATTCAGCGGAAAAAATACATGGAACTGAATACCAGATCCGATACTTTTTTTTTGTGGGGCTGTGTAATAGCTGCAGCTATGCTAGAGTTTTAAAAGAAATCCCATATTGAGAAATATTTTTATCTATAATAACAAATAAAAATACGTATCAGTATACATCAAAAACAAAAAAAAAACTATACAGAACGGAAGCGTTTACCTAAATGATTGTTTATTATGAACCATTCGTACTCTTTCTTTTTAATCCTAAGTTTTATAAGAGATTTTGGTATCAGCCAAAAGTGTGGTCCTTTGCAATCAAATTCTGGGTGCTGTGACGTAGTGTAACAGACAGGAACATACCATTGTGATTTTTTATCGTTTCCGTCCATTAGAAACCTCTCCTGAAAAATAATAATGTAAGCACTACACATTTATACATAAGTATAAATGTGTAGTTCTTACAAACAATGCCCCATTATGTTTGTAGCATATCTACAATATGAATTGAACACATTGAATAGAAATTGAACATTTCAAGAACCTTCGATGAAACTAAACCGATTTAGACCAAGTTACTATACCTAGGCATCCAAAACAGTATGTTGAATTTTGGAACATTTATTTGGTGGTTGTTGAGAAAATGAAGTTATGTTATGTTTCGAATTGAAATTATCATCCACGATGACACAAGTCGACAGCCATGAATCGCCCAAATCTTCAGTGAGCAGAATATGCACCGAAGGGCAGTTTCCGAGAATGTGCGAAGCCACCATCAAGCGCGATCAAACATCGTCCATAGTCTGTTTGGAAATGAAAGAGAGTAATAAAACCCCGAGGTAAGAACCGGCCATGGGCGTGGTAATATTTCATTTCAGGTAATTACCGGTAACACATTTAGTCTGGGCGCAGGTAAAAGGAGATATAGCGCGAAATAATACGACGTTTAAATTAAGTGACATGAAAATTTTCTTAAAGAATTCCTTGGAACGAGTAACTGCAGATAACTGGCAAAGATGTATACATCATGTACAAAAAGAAGAGGAGAAAATGTGGGAACTCGATAATTTAATTGACGTTACTGTGGAACCTATCGTTATCAATCTAGGAGACGAAGATAATTCATCAAAATATTCAGAGGATGAATTTTAATATACCTACTTTTTTATTTTCTTTATTGTACATTTATACAACACTACATTTACTCACCATAATTTGAATTTTCAAAATACATATATTTTTGTGTGGAATAAAAGTCTATTCATTAAATTTAAATAAATATTTTGATAATAATATTGAATAATTTTATTTGAATTACTAAAAACCCTCTTAACCCGGTTATGATGCTTAAAGTAGCCTCATGTTTTGAAATGCTGTTTTTATATTGTTTACTTATAAGAGAAATGGACCGAGAAATTGAAGCGGCATAGACAAAGACGGATTGTCGGGGATTAAATTTTAGCTACCTGCTACAATTTAGTACAGTCCGATCGCACAAAGTTTTTTTAAAAGTACACCTCATCTATACCGATAATACATAATATAAAAATATTGAATATAAGCACCAGTACTACATTTGTTTACGATTTGCATACATAATAAGCTTTTATTACTCTCTTTCATTTCTAAACAGACTATAGTTATATAACCAAAGCATCATAATATCTTATAGTTATATAACCAAAGCAAATGTCTTTGTTTAGAGGGATATAAGTGTTAAGTTTGTATTGAAGATTCCACATGATAGGTTCAAAAAATCTAAAAAAACAAAAAACGAACGAAACTTAGATTATTATTCTAGTGCCAAACTCACCGATAGCATACTAACGTAACTTGATCTATATAGGTTTATTTCCATCTAAGAAAACTACGAAAGCTTTTAGTACGATACATTAATTTCTGGACAACCTACTCCTGTATTTCTGCATCACACATTCCTCAAGATATTTTCGCAAAACAAAATAGTTGCAACTACTACTATTGAGTTACCTGTGATATTTCAACATATGAATCGAAAGTGCGCACGGTTAGCAACGGGTATCCTGGTTTTTTTATCCAGTTGTTCATAATTTCAGTTAAATTACCAGTTGGCAACTTGGCAGTTGTGTTATCTGTGGCTTCTTGTAATTTTCCCCACAAGTCTTCCGGCAGAGCAGTCCAATATTTACTAAATATATTATAAAGTTACTACCTGACATCACTTTAATTAATAAATGGAAAAATAGGGAGTTATGTACGGAGAATTCTATTTTAAATTAGGCCCCTTTTCTTTTATTTCAGTACTTACTATTCCAGCAAATATTTCCTCAAACCTTCCCTGAACATTTCGGCTCCCATTACGTGTCTGACCATACGAAGTATGGAGCCTCCTACAATAATAATCAGGACTTTTTGTAACAATTAGTTAAATTTTATAAAATTTTATAAATTATATAAATTATATAAATTTTATAAAATCTTTGCTCAATAAAAACAAATAAAATTGGTAATAAAATAGTATAATCACATAACAAAAAAAAAAAAAGAAATAAAAGTAATAGTAGGGGCTCTGGAAATGGTTAAAAATATGAAATGATTTTGAGTACAATTTTTTATACATTATATGTAGTCCAATCAATAGGTAGAAGAGCTTACAAAAAATACCACCTGGAAACAAAAAATATGGTGATATAGGAAAAAAATTCTAAACAAGATAGTGGTTTTTTCCTGTGGCTCATATACGGCTTAAAAAATTCATAATGGTAAAAAAAACGGGTTTTCGCTAAAAAAAACTTGAACTCCAATCGAAAAAAGTTAAATGAGAAAGTTGTAGCTATTATGAAAACCAATCGATTCGTATTTTTAAATATATCGATTGCTATATTACTTTTCGAGATATATCGAAAAAACCGTCAAAAATCGATTTTTCTTGTTTTTGGTGTATCTCTTGCAAATTAAGAGTTTGAAACTTGTTTCTTACTGTAAATTCAGCCCTCGGAAGCAAAAAAGTGCCTTTTTTAAATTAAAAAATATTAAAAATGTTTCGAGTTATATAGATTTTTCGAAAAAAAATCTCGAAAATCGACTCCTCTTGCTCGACGAATAGTCGTAGAGAAATGAATCAGGGCTAATTTTTCCCTTAAGAGTTGTATTTTCATGGTAAAAAAGAATGAAAACGATTTTATTCATTTCAAGTGTCCAAAAATGACTGAAAAAGTAAAAATTTTTCGGTCGCGTTTTTCTTGAATACTTATCTTTTTCGATTTTCATTTTTCGGTAATGTCTATTACAGGAATAGATTGCTGGTATTTTTACGCGAATTAAAAAAAACGTTAATACGACCTTTTGGAGACGAGATAATATTTTTTTTTCAAAAAATTCAACAGGCCGCTATTTAATTACTACAGCATCCATTCTTTGTTTTAAATTCTCGTAAAAACGCACAATCGATTCCTGTAATAGACCTTATCGAAAAATGAGAATCGAAAAATATATTCAAGAAAAACGCGACCAAAAAATTTTTACTTTTTTCAGTCATTTTTGGACACTTGAAAGGAATAAAATCGTTATCACTTCTTTTTACCACGAAGGTACAAATCTTAAGGGAAAAAATGAGTCCTGATTCGTTTCTCTATGACTATTCGTCGAGCAAGAAAAGTCGATTTTCGAGATGACCTTTTTATCATCACAAAAACGAAACGTTTTCGAACTTACATCCCCATAAACTTTTTCCTTATTTTAGGTCAGAAAATCATCAGCAAAATTATAACGGTGACATGTTGCAACACCCTATATTCACAATATATTAGAGTTACCTTTGAGATAACTAATTACGCTGAACTTATGCGATGCGTCTGTCGGACTGAATACTTCTGACTGAAGAGGGGCCTGTTTGCTTACACTATCAGCGTTCAATGCTGTATGGACAACCTTGATAACAAACTGCTTATCCAGTTGCCAGGATGGAAAGACCTGTAAATTTTGATCTATTAAAATCATAGTTAGAAGTTCCACTCAGGTTAGGCGCTTCCTTTCATGTCATATGCGCGTGAGTGGGAAAACGTATTCGCGTTAATTCAAACGAAATCGAGAAAAGAACAAAATTGTAATATGGCGAAAGGAACAATTAAAGTATATCTAGCTGTAACCCACATTTGTATTTAAAAAAGACATCGATGACGTCATCACTGTGAACACATGACGTCATATGTAAAACAAATATCTCGCAGAACACACTTAAAAATAAAAATCGACCTTTTTCAGGATTTTTGTCCAAAGTCACCGATTTAGGAAATAACGAAATTCTTTCATTTGCGCATACAGTATATTTTCGACGACATCCTGTATATTGTGCTTCACGCTTACCTCGTGTGTCGCGTGATATTCGAAATACGTAGCAAATCCTTCGTTCAGAAATAATTCCGACCACCAGTTGCAAGTTACCAAATTACCAAACCAGAAATGGGCTGTTTCGTGAGCGACTATTGTGGTAATTTCGCTCTTGCTCATTTCGGTGTTTCTTTTCGGGTCCCACAGCAATGCCTCTTCTCTATAAAAAATTATTATTATTCGCGAAGTTAAAGTAAAGCTATAAAACTTGTAAAATGCAGTTAAATGTAAAAGGGGTTGCTCTTATACGGGATGTTGAAAAACTTAGCAAGAGATAGGATGTTAAATTTTCCTAAGAGATGTTTTTATTTATATCTTCCAGTTGGGTTAGCCAAATCAATTCAGTATTGGTACAGGATACCGCGGGTGGAGATTCAGGGGGTTTGCCATTTTTTTTCATAGGTACATTTACGCCACTGAAATTTTCACATAGTAATTCTCTGAAAGAGCTGGTGTATGTACAACTAACGGTACCGTAGTTTTAAAATACATCTGCACGAAACATAATATTGAAAATATTACTCATGTGTATATGTATAGTACATATTAAAACAAACGTACACAAACTACAAATTGTTGTTCGGTAATGTCAATACAATCCAAACAATGCTGGCTATTTGATAGAAATTTAAGAACAATAATAATAATTCAAGCAACGTATTAGAGTCTAACAAGTAGTAGTATTTAATAACGCATCATACAAAATAAAAAAGTTTGTCCTTTTAATCAGACCCTAAAATACATATAGACCAGTGCTTAAGCCTTCAAAAATGGTAAAAAGTGAAAAAAAATTATAATAGGATGAAACCCTTTGGAAAAGGAAGAGAATATAACAGAAATTAAAGGAAAAATAATTTACGGGCTATCTGTGGTCGGGAAGGGGAAGGGGGTGAGTTTTTAAGAGTAAAAAACGGTTTCCCTTGATTTCCGGAAAAACCTCAAATTTTGACCTTTGACCAAGAATAACTTTTTTAGCACACATGGGATCGATTGAGGGCTTATTTCTGATGGTGTACCCAAGGTCTCCACCAAAATTTAGCCCTGACGGAGTTTTCGTTATTTGACCACTATTTTTATGACTAATTTGACCGGACTATTAGGAATAACACGGCTAATGTTAAATTTTTACTTTATTTAAATTTAGGAATATTATTTTATATCGTTTTTTGTAAAGTTTAAGCACATTAGTGTATCTAAACTTCTGCAAAAAATTAAGGGAGCAAAAAAATGTTTTGAATTTTTAGTGATTTTTCAGAATGCTGTATCTCAGTTAAAAATCATCGTATCAAGGTTTTAAAAAAAGCATTTTAAAGCGCCGAATATCTAGTTTCCAGATTTCTTAGCTCAAAATTTTTAGGAGCGACAGTCATCGCGAAATTCTAAGAAATAAGACTAAAAAA